TCCTTAAGACTTGCACCAATTTGTTTACAACAATTGTTTCATCCTTCTTATATTCCTTTCACTGTTTTGCCCTATATTCTTTTACAATAGCTACATATATCTCATAAAAAGACAATTATACTGAGTGCAGGCTCAAAACCTCCTAGTTTGAAGGTTTACTGGTTTTTAACAGTCTTAAGTTAAAAGGTAATGGTTCAATTTTATTAATCTTGCACTGCATAGTTAGAACTGTGGGAAGAGAGTTTTAGTGAAGCTGATAAGTTTGATTTTTTTATCCACACTCCTCTAAGTTATTATTTCAGAAATTTCTCATACAATATGTCATAAATATTTCTGCATTTCTGACTTACAGCTTTCCCTTACATACTTTTACAATTTATCACAGATACAAATATTTTTATATAAGAAGTACTGTCTTTTTGAATATGTGCAGTTGTCCACACACAAACTCTAAATACATCTCACCATATGAGCTGTTGAAGAATACCTTAATAAGTGTTGAATACTATGCCTAGGACAAAAAGTATGATTTGGATTCTTCAAATTTAAATATAATTCTGTGCACTGAGTAGAAGGATGTCTATATTGTAAGACATTCTTGTAGTCAGTCAAGGTAACAGAATGTCCAAGATTTTCAAGGTACAAACTCTAAACCTTCCAAAAATCTGATGGATCAGCAGGAGGTGGGTGTATTTGAACCAAAGCTTGTTTTAATTGAAACCCTGGCTGATATGACAGTGAAATGTATTTGTCAGCTGTACAGTAAAATCCTTGGATCCTAACCAAATCTTTTGGCACACATTACAACTACTCTTCAACCCTATACTCAACATTGGCAAATTTGCAGAATTCCATTACCTGGGTGTACAAAAAGTATATATATATATGTATAAAAGAAATTGATTCTAAAAGTTTTACTCCGATATCCTCTAGGAGCTTAAAATGTCTCAAAGCAGCAAGAACAAGCTTATTCTCTAATCTCTTTCAAAATAAACTATCACAAAATTAGCATTTACAAAATACTCATTTAGTTCACTCACTGCTATGAATGTTATTACATATGAAATACTTGATTCACACCTTGTACAAACCACAGAAAATTGAGACAAAAAAACATTTAGTCAATGATTTTCAAATGCAGTCTGATATGTTGAAACTCAGATTACGTACAATTCCTTGTCTAATAGTTCACTACTCTAAAAAATAATTTGGTTTGCAGTATTTGCTCTCACACTGGCAGTATTTCTCTCCAGTATTTCTAAGATTATTCTTAATGTAAGAAATGCTACAATAGGAAATTTAAAACTCTGACAAACAGAAAGAACATTCATTTTATCAGTATCTTTGCAATGTCTTTTTAAACATGAGTATTCTTTTGATAGTTGATCATTGAATATACACTAGATTTGGATGATTACTGGTATTTGCTAAGTGATCGATGAATGGCCCCCATTAATCTATTACAATTAATTAGTACAGTTTTTCTCACACCAAGTAAAAACAAAATGCTGCCAAGTAGTCAGTAGTTCATAATTAGTGACGATAGTAGATAGCCTTAGTAGCTTTGACATAACAAAGAGTAAGTTGATGGCAATATTTCAATTACTTGGATAATTGGAATAATCAGAAACCATAATTTTGATAAATTACGTGATTAATTATGTGATAATTATTTATTCAGAATTTTAATTAATCAACTGTTGAAATAATCAAAAACAGTAATAACTGAAAACACCAATTTCAATTACTTGATTATTTTTGTGAGAATTTATTTAATCGTCTAGCTGTGGGTCTGCCTATGATCAGGGGTCAAAAGATGTGTCATCACCTTTGTAGATTTACATTAAAAATTTTATTGAATTACTATTTTATGAATGTCTGTCAATAACTTTGGTATCATATTGTAGATTATAATTCAACTTTTAGTATTATGCATTTGTTAATTTCTTAGTTTAAAAGTAAATATAAAAAAAATATTGATTCTTGTGTGTCCCACAGTATGTTGAATGCAGCTTTGGTTTAAATCAGTTGCTTGTGATGTCCAAATACAAAGTTTATAGTTTCTTGCAAATTAAAAACTCAAATGATCGATATTGACAAGTTAGAATATATAAAATGAACCTCCTATCTTTTCTATTTGCTGAAATATCACTATATTTAGCAAATTAAACACTGTGGCCCCACCCACTTCTTTCATTTTTGGAAATATTTCCTTACATACACTGGCTTTGCTCCTTCATGGCTTTATACCCAATCAAAAGCTCAGAATCCCCCCCCCCCACATGATTTTTTTTTCTCTTTTGTCTCAAATCTCCATTTGTTTGAAATTAAGCACAAAGCTACACAATGGGCTATCTGTGCTCTGCCCACCACGGCTGTCGAAACCCAGTTTCTAGCACTGTAAGTCCGCAAACACACCACTGTGCCACTGGGGGGCTCTCGATTCTCAGAAGAAAGGAGTAAGTGAAAATGTTGTTTGAAATATATTTTTTTTTTAGTAACTAAGCTGTATTTGGGTCTAAGTGTGATAAATTATACTGGATTTCTGTGTTATTGATATAGTAATTTATGATTTTTGTCATTTCAAAATACACATATAAAACCTGAAAAATTATTTTGTTTTACATCCTCTATGTGCAGAATTTGACAAGGCTTAGCAAATTACGGTAAGTGGCAAACAAGTACAAAGTTTATAAGTAGAAGAGATCATTGTTT